CCCCATGCCACCATTGCCACCTTCCTGGGAGGTCTGTTTAAGCTCCTCAGGACCTAGGGTGACCTTGCCCAGCAGCTAGGGCCACCTCCCCAGAGAGATCTCTCATCCCACCCGGATGGCCAGAGCCCCCTCACTGGGGCTACCTCCCTAAGGAATTCTTGCGGGGGCCGGCCCCTACCCCGAGCCGCGAGAGGCACCCTCACAACTTTCCAGGGCCCCCTCATCTGGACTATTCCCCCGGGAGATCTGTGCCACCTCACTGGGCTACCAAGGTCCCCTATCCAGGACGCCAGGGCCGCCTCACCGGGGTGGCAGGCGCCTCGCCGACCTCGCCGGCCAGGAGCATCCCGCCTCCGTGCGAGTCCTCGGCTCCATGCGTAGCCAGCGTGGCCTGTGGAGTCGGGCTCCGGTCAGCGACAGACAGCAACTCAGCCTCCGAGGCCGTAGGGCTGAGCGCCACCGCGACTTCCTCTCGCCGTCTCCCTGGTTTCTTCCTCTCGGCCTAGATAGGCCCTGCCCTGCAGCAGCCGGCCGTGCACGGTGGCTCCACCTGCTGGCCGGGGGTCAGCACAGCCGCGCAGGGAGCGGCAGGGGGCCGCCGGGGGGGGCCCCCGACGGCGGCCCGGGTTGGGTGCTCCGCAGCAGGGCGCCTGGTTTTACCCACTTCACTGGAGATGACGGGAGGGGGTCGCTCCCTCCACGCCACAAACTCGACGTGAACTTTGTAGATGTATGTTTAGATGCGTCCGGATGTTCTGAAAATGTGAATGAACTTATTGGCTAGGAAATACAACGGTTTTGTTTTGTTTTGTTTTGCTAGAGGACACGTTGGCTGGCGGAAGAAAGCACAAAGTGGCCATGTGGGATCCAGCCGTCCCAATTGCACGCCACAGGCGATCATTTATTTGGGGGATTTCCACTGAATGTCAGTATCTTTGAATCTTTCTTTTAAGGCCCTTCAGATTCGCTAGAGGTAATCCTATTTCCCGACTGGAGGATGCAGATCTGGCTGTAAGCATTTTGGGAACTAAATAGAGGAAGAAGACTCAGCATCTAATACACACTTTGCCCAGGACAGACACCGAAAAAATTCTGTCTTTTGTCAGGGAGGGGAAAAGAGGGATACCCAGCAGGAAGGTGCAGGCAGAGGGCCTGAGGACTTGACAACCTCATAAACAACATGGCAGGTAGTGCTATAGGGACCTAAACAAACTAGGCGGAAAAAATCCTTAGAGACCTAAACAAAGAAGAGAGGAAATCCTTAGAGTAAATAGACATCATTTAATAAGGAGAAAAACTAAAATTTACATGTATGTATTTACATATTTGTTCATGTTTATATATACGTGTGTGTGTGTAAATCGATATTCTGAAATAGGAGCTACTATTTGTGAGCATAAAATATGAATACTATTTTAAAAAGAGCAATCAGAGACAAAAAAGAGTAGAAGTGAAAAGTTCAAGGTTTGGAAAATAAGTTTTGGAAAATATCCTAGGGGAAAAAAAGCAAAAGGACAAAGAAATGAAAAATAAGAAAGAAAAAGTCATAAAATAGACGACCACTCCAAAGAGTATAAAATCTGAAAAATAAGAATTCCAAATGAAAAAAATAAGGAAGGCTTGGGGAGAGCAGAATCATCAACAAACAATTCAAGACAGGGACTAGCAGATGGCATAATGGTTATGTCGCTGAACTCCCACATGGTCAACTGCAGTTCAAGTCCCAGGCCCGGAAGCTTGAAAGTCACACAGGGTATGAGTGCATGAGCGCCCAAAATCCTGAGAGGAGAATGGAGGAGAACGGATTGTGGTGTGGCCACCCCTGCCCCCCCGGGGGGGGGGATGATTTCTTTCTGTCTCCTTGTCTCTCTGTCTCTCGGGCAAGTGCATGCGCTCTATGGCGAAAATCTCTCTTAAAACAAACAAACAAACAAAAAACTCAAGAAAATTTCCCCCAACTGAAATGCATGAATTTCTAGGTTGAAATGGCCCACTGGGTGTCCGTACAATTGAAAAATTTGACCCACTCCAAGGCTCATCACTGTGAAATCACAAAACTCTGGGGGTGAAAAGACAACCTGAGGCTTCCAGAGAGAAAAACTGATCTCGAACAAAGGATCAATAATCAAAATATTTTGGGAAGCTGGCAAGTAGCAATGGTGGTTAAGGGTCACTGGATTCCCACGTCTGACCATAGTTAGAGTCCTGGATCTGGTGGATTGCTTTCTCATTCTCTCTCTCTCTCTCTCTCTCTTTCTGTTCCTCTCTGGTCAAATTTAAATAATAAAAAAAAGTTAAATAAAATAATTCTTTTAAAAAAATCTCAGGGCCAGGGGCCAGCAGGTGGCATGGTGGCTATGGACGCTGGACTCCCACATGGCTGACCACAGTTCGAGTCCCAGTTCTGACACTTGGCTTTCTCATTTTCTCTTTCTCTGTCTCTCCCTCTCTGGTCAATTTTAAATAAATTAATTAATTAAATAAAACAAAGAATAAAATAATTTTTTAAAAAGTTAAAAAATTTTTGTGACCAGCACATGATGTGGTGGTTAAGGCATTGGACACCCACATGTGAATGCAGTTTGAGTCCCGAACCTAGTAGCTTTCTTTC